TCTGGTCCAGTTAGAAAAGCGCACAAGCACTCCAGTACTATCAGTTATGCTTGGAGGAACATAAGAAGGGCGAGGGGGAGGGGACGGGAGGCGACACAAACTCAGAAATAGCCCGGTTTTTTTGCTTTGAGAGAGCACAGCCTGCTAACAGCCAGGTCCAGCCTGTCAGAAAATCAGTATGCTGAAGTATTACTATCAATAGACGGCATGGAAAAACCCGGTCCACAGATATATGCCCTCCCAATGATCTCTGTCTCAAATAAAAAAAAAAAGCCTTAAAAGTGGCATCCTTATAGAATTTGTCTTCCTTGAAATTGATTCTACATTGTGGCCTAGTTCTTTTTTATTTCTGAACCTATTATGGGCCACATCTGTGGAAGTCTGTATCAACTATTCTGAAACCAGCTGCTGCTGAGATTCTTTCAGTTAAGCTGAAATTAAGAACAGGTTTGTGGGCTCCCTACCTGCTGTGAAGCCGTGATGTAGTTTATAAAATTACATATGGGTGAGAAAATCTGACTGCCAGGGCTGGAAAAGTTGGTACATTTAGCAGAAACCTAAAATATCTTTGTACGCTGAGGCTATACTTACTTTGCAATATTAACTTTTTCTGCTCTCTTCCTCAGTGTCATTGTAAAAGCAATATTGAATAATTCAATGTATAAAAAACGTGGGTTTGATAGGATAAAAGCACAAATATCAAAATCAGGCTATATCCTAGCAACTGTGTTGATGGTGGGGGCAAATATGAAAGACATTAGAGTTAAAAATGTTGATTCTTCAAGAAAGGTCTCCAGATTATTTCTGCCATGAGGAAAAGCTTCTTACATACCATAAATGAGATGATGGAGACAAACACCAGTCATCTTTTGGCATTAATGCAATTGCATGATAGCAAGGGGACAACTTCTATGAATAGAAGGTAAAGAGGGTATGACCGCATTCTGAAACCTGCCACAATTTGTCAACAGATGAAACAAAGTCACTTATTGTTGTTACACATTAATAGATATGTCAGATCATGAAATATGTGCATGTCTCCAAATGGAAAAATATTTTCAAATCCATTCGATAGATTTATGCCTGACTAAATGAACAGGGTGCAAGAGCTTGACCTCAATCTATGTAGACCCAGAGTATGCCGGTGTTAAAAACTTTGATAAGTTGGGGTGCGTTTTCATAGTACAAACTCTGGAAGCAGCCTGACATCACATAGCTACTGAGGCACGATTAGAGAGGGAGAAGAAACAGATTTTTGCAGTGCACATGAAAGGTCAATGTATTTAATCCAACAGTATATGCTTGTTATTGATTGAAACCATTTTGTTTCGCAGTGAAATTTGTGCCACCCACAGAAAGCACACCAATGTTAGCATGGCCCATTTTAATTGGAGTCAGAAATGTTAGTTTCTTGTAAAAAAGCATCACGGGGAATGTTTCTGTGCGGTGATCTGCAGATGTACATGAGTATTAGAGTTGCCTGTGCCTTCCAGTTTGTAACTTCTGCACATGCTCTTTGTGTTTTCAGATACACCAAGAAAAGGTCTGGTTTAGAATGTGAAGAGTAATACAAGATTATTTGTTGTTAGTTTGTGTGCTCTTTTTTCCTGACCCAAGCACAGTTTGAAAGCAAAATCTCTAGCTTAGATTTAAATAGACACATATTGTTTTATTGGCAGAACTGGAGAACTAACTATAAAGCCAAGGGCTGCGTTTAGAAAGGGTTGTTGAGAGACAGATACGATGGGTGACTGAGGAAAAAGCTAGTCCAAATCTTGAGATGGGAGAAAGATTCCTTAAAAAAATCAGGAGTTTAAACTGTCCTGGATTAGCATTACTTGGATACGTTCTCTGATCTTCAGATAGATTTGCAACAACAAAAAATATTCATCAGCACAAAACCTGAGTAACTGAGCAAGCATACATCAAAAGTTAAAAGTGACTGGGTCCGCTAGATTACATTTCACTGACTGTATCTGTGTATGTGACATGTACACACACACACGCACATATATATGAAATGTAATCCAAACTTGGCTTGTTTGCCTGCCTTGAAGTATTTATCTATGCTTTCAGCTTTGCTTTTAGAAAGACAGCCTTTTTTCCTTGCTATTCTACCATGGTGTTTCTCGGGAACCTTTTCTTATCTAAGCTTCCACCAATCACTCCTAAGGCTAAGTTATGCAGACAAGTCATCACACAGAATTTCATCAAACTGCCATTTTCCCAAACTTGAGGAAGCCTGGTCCCAAATGCTGAACAAATAATTTATTAGACCATAGCAAAAGTAAATAAATGCTTTTCTGCTCCAAGTATTTCATTAGCCAGAATTATTATACATACAAGTCTATAAATAGCAAAACACGTATTGAGCCATTAATATCACTGACATTCTCATACAAAATACTGTAATTTAAAGAATTTGAAACTGGAGGACATCTCCTGGAAGATTTCTGGCAAAGATAAAATGGGTAAACAGTGTCTGAAAACAGATTAATCATCCATGGAAATGGTATGTTACTAACAAATTGAAAATTAAGAACATCCTCTCTACCTAAAATTTCTAATGACATTGACGATATTATGCAAATACATTTTGCATATCTTTTAAGTCTATAAATTCTTACACCATTTCAGTTTTGCTTTTAAAACCCAGAAGTGCTGGACTCAGCAGAAGAAATGTGAGAAAATCTCCTATTTAAAATTACATGGACAGAGGAACTCTGCTGGTGACTTTCCGTGAAATTAATATACCGCTTGATTGTTTTTAAGGTCTCTGCATCTTCTGAATTTTTAATTGCCTTTCCATTAAAGTGGAATACCCCTCGCTTACTAAGCCTGAGATGGGTTCTCCAGTCCTTTCACCCCTGTAGCCTCCTATTTTCTTACAGGAAGAAGGAGTGCAAGACTGGCCCTGTGGAAGCAAATATGGAAAATATTAAGCATTTTAAGCGTTACTCTATCAAGTAAAAGAGCAAGCACTGTGTTGTGTATTCTCATGTTTTACTGTGTAAGGGAAAGAATCTGTACACACTCTGAGAGAAAAGGAATAGGTCATAAAAATCACATTTTTAGGTAGAGGAGTTGGGAAGTCTCATGCACCTTTCATTGCTCTGACTTGTCAATTTTCACCATATGGAAATTGTTAGCTTAATACTGTAGTTCTAAATAGTGCCCAGGAATGCTGATTTATAATGGATTTCTTACTCTTTGTGTAAAGAAATGCTAAACTACTATATAAACCATGATTAGAGAATCTACGCGCTTGTATTATAGGTGTGTGCCTGGGGTGAATTCTTCAAGCTTAGAGAGGTGACATCTGGTCTGGTCCACTCGCAGGTAAATCTGACAGCAGCGAACTCGGAATTCCCACAAAATGCTGGAATCCAGAGTAACTGGGAACCCAATTTGGCCTGTAATTGAAAAAGTGCGCAGGAAAGATGCTGATGCATAAGGCACAAAATCCAGACATTCCAGATACGTTATTTACTGTTGAGACATTTAAAGACACCACCTTAATGCAATGAAGTTGCCTTTGAAGAATAGGCAATGTGTATTTTTTTAATGCACATCCTCTCTATATTTTGACCAGCTGCTATGCACGTCTGATTATTTTTTTCTGTGAATTAGAATTAAATTTGATTGTCCCAAATACATCCCATTCAGGCATTCATGCTGAAAGCAGCAACAATTGTCAATGACCTTTAACACGCCTGCTATTCAAATTAGTGCAGATCATTAATCACACATAGCTTACATTTTATGATTCGTGTATCCTTCATTACCAACTTTCCCCTCCCGCTCTCTGCCCCCCACCCCCACCCTTTCCCTTTATTCCGAGGGAATAAGCACTGGAAAGGGCAGGATTTAAAGCCTCCCCCGCCCCAATTTTGTTTTTTTCTCATTGCCGAAGCAGTTGGCGTCCCAAGTGCAAGACGGAGGGAGGGCGGCGCGGAGCCGGTGCGCCCAGGAAGGGTCGGGCCAGGGGTGGGGGGGGCAACTCCGGCGAGGAGCTCGTAGCCGGGGTGTCCGGGGCCAGTGGTGTTCTACCGTCCCGGGGCGTCGAGGTAACACCGACCCTCCGTCAAAAGTCCTCCGTGTCAATTGTACGTCATCGCACGTTACAAGACAAAGAAAGAGAGACAAAAAAAAAAAAAAAAAAAAAAGGCTTCATCCACACCCTTGATGTCTAGTACCAAGCGCTAAATTAGGCTTCCCAGCCATAGACTAAACACACTCCCCTCGCCTATGGCACACAGAGATTTGGCGTGATTAAACCGAGCTTCGTAAACAGACAGGAAAACAGGAATTGAACTTTTCAGCCATAGGAGTGGAGGGGCGGGAGGGGGGGAAGCTTTTTTGTTGCTTGTTTTTTTTTTTTTTTTTTTTTTTTTTTTCCTAAAGCCATATGGCAGATTGATTTGTTCGGAGGTCTTTCAACTTCCCCAGCGTGGCTGTTGAACAGTATTCCTCTTTGATCTTGATTGAGGACTTTAATGTTGTTGTTTCTGCGCATTTCAATAGATCCATAAATATTTTACCAGTGGAATTCGCCAAAAAAAAAAAAAATAATAAAAAAAAGGAAAAATAAAGTTTCTCATAGAAATGCATCTGGGGCAACTCCAACCCGCATCTTTCGCAGCGGAGAAGGTACGTGGGAACCGGGGCGGCGGTCGGCACAAGCGCCACGCCGCGCCCGGCACAACGCGGAGCCCGCCTTCCGCACCGCTCTCCGCCCCGCGCTCCTGCAGCGCCCGGGGGCGACCGGCACCCCGCGCCCCAACTTTGCTCCGCGGAGACAATAGTGGCCGGCGTGTGCGTGCGGGCCCCGCACCGGCCACACCACGGCGGCCGCCGGGGGACGCGCGGCGGCGTCGGCGGCGCTGGGGCGGGCGGGGCGCGGCGGGCGCGGGCGCGGCGGGGGCGGTGCGCGGGCGCGGGGCGCGGCGGGGGCCGGCGGGGCCGCCCCCGCCCGCGCCAGTGGAGCCGCTCGGCGGATCATGTGCAGCGCGGCGCCGCTCGCATGCGGCGCGTGGTTTCACCTTCAGGGCTGCTCGGCGCGCCCTTCCCCGAACGCCGCCGGCCGCGCAGGAGGTGAGGGGCGGCGGGGCGAGGGGGCATGGCCCGGGGGGGCGGGGGGTCCTCGGGATGCGTGCCTGTGAGGGGTGGGGGGGAAAAAAAAAAGGAAAAAACCCCAAAAACTTCGCGCCTCCCTCCGAGTACGGGGACTGTCCCCCCGGCCATCGGAGCGGCTCCAAAATGGTAACTTTGCGCTGTTTGGCGAGGAGGAGGAGGATGGTTTTACTGCAGTGGTGGTGCCGGGGGGTGGGGGAGCCCTGCGGGCTCCGGGAGCCCTTTGGCTTTGTACGCTCCGTCAGGGACGTTGAGGGGGGGCAGACTGCGATATTAATCCATTAAGAGACAAAGAACAAATTGCCTCACTTTAAAGTAAAATGCTTCGGCTAAAGAAGGTGGGTGATGGGTCTTCGAACACCGAGTAGCCACTTCAATTAATAAGAGTGGGTTGTTTCCCCCCGCCCCTCCCCGATAGTATTGATTCAGCGTGTGCGTGAAATGCCCGATGTGGGGCTGTGTCCGTGCGTCCCCCCCCCTTGTTTTTTGAGTCGCTCTCGGTTCCGTGGTGAGTCGGTCGCTGCTTGATCCCCGTTAGAGAAGTACACAGTTTATCAAAGGAAGTTGGGGGTGGGCGGGCAGAGAAAACAATTATTCACATATAGACAGCGAGGAGGGCTCGGAGGACAATGTCTCCGTAGCGATTATTTCCAGAAGAGGAAAAATCGCTCGTTTGATGCGGGTGGGGTGGGGAGGGATGCAGGGAGTCTAATGTACGTGTTAAAAAAAAGGGTGTGTGTGGGGGTGTCGAGAGGAGGAAAGGAAGGAGAGAGAGAGGGAGAGAAAAGAAGAATAGAAATAATGCAGTTCCAGACATTTTGTGCTCTAAAAGCTTTCCTCCTCCTCGTCCCTCCCTCCCTCCCCCCGCTACTATCTTCGGTGATCATTAGCATAGCGCCGAGTCGCGATCCTAATGCGAATTAAGCACTTGGTCAAGTTGAGGAAAGTTTGGATGGGTAAACTTTGCTATGAGGGAAGAAGGTGGGGTGCTAAAACTGGCAGTACGTGTGGGGAGACGTGTGGAGCATGACAGCCGGCCGTTGTTTTTCCCCTCAAACCAGCTAACCTCTGCAATTAACTGCTGGAGACAAACCCTGTGTTTTAAGCCGAAAGGTGTCGGTTTGGAGTCAGCACCATTTATTAGGAGCGTTAATAAGCTCCCAGCAGCAGACAGGGATCTTCTGGGGAATGCGCATTGTGCGTGCCCACATCTTATCCTTTACATTACCCCTATAGATGCGGAGGCGCTCGGGCACTGGACGTGCAAATATCATTTTGCTGGGACTATTTTCGAAACATTAATTCTGTTCTTTATTTAATCCAAAAGCAGGGTTCCCCTCCCCCCCCCCCTTTGCTGCCTTATTGTTGGTTTACATTTTCTGAAAAGGCGACTGGTGTAACCTGTGGAATTTGAAATGCAAATAAAAGCCTGTGGGAGTTGAGGCAGAACAAATCAGCATTTATAAAGTGAAAAAGATTTAATGTCTTTGAAACCACTGCGAGATTTTTTTTTAATAAGAACTGAATCGTGACGTCAAGTCGTTGGGGCAAGATTTTTTTTATTTTTTTTTTTTTTTAATGTCTGAAACGTGGGTATGCGAAGTGCTTACAGGAAAAACAGATTACAAGATTAACATCTGTTAACATGATCGTTTATCTCCAGCCAAAAATAGGTCAGTCCTTTCTTAAGGAAACACGATTGCTGGGCGCATGATTAAATAATGAAATTAGGCTGATGAGTTCATAAATTAGACGCTGTGTCGACGTGCGTTAGGATCCGACCTGTGACAAAAAAATGTAATTCGAGGTCCGCCGGAGAGCGATGCGGGGTCAAAGTCTCTTTTTGGGGAGAGGCGCAACTCTCTCGCCGCCTCTTCCTCCTCCCCTCGCTCCCCATCTCCGGGCGCTCCCCGCCGCCCCCCCCGCTCGCACCCAGCGTCTCCCCAGCTGCGGAGCCGAACTCTTTCCCTGCGAGCGGAGAAGTTTCCTCGGCGGGGAGGGACGCGGGGGGTGCTGCGGTACGAAAGCGGCGGGAGGGGGCGGTGGAGGAGGTTGGGGAATGGGGCCGGACGGACGCCGAGCCCCCGCCCGCCGGCGTTCCCGCCCCGCCGGGGCGGCCCCAGTCCGCGGGCCCGCCCCCCGCCACCGCCCGGCCCGGCCCGGCCCCGCTCGGCCCCGGGGTGTTGGGGCGCGGCGAGGTGGGGCGGGGAGCCGCCGTGCCCCTGCCTTACCCCCTGCCCGGCGCTGCGCGCAGCCCCCGCCCAGCCTCGGTGTTGATGTCCCCTCGCCGATCCCCCCTCAGCGGAGTGGTCGGGCTTATTTTGGAAGTGGGTGCAAAACTGCCTTGATGAAAAATCTCCTCGGGCCTGGCGGAGCCTTCGATATTTTGATTTTTGTGTGTAATTTTTTTTTTTAATTTTGTTTTTTTCACAGAAATCACAGATTTCTAGAGATTTTCTTCTCAAAACCGTGGGCTGGCCGCTGTGCTCGGGGCTGGCTCCTCGGCGGCCGGGGAGAGGTCCCAGAAGCCCGCCCGGCAAAGGGCCACTGCGCTTTGGCCTCGTGCCACGGACTTTATTTCATGCTTGCTGCACTAAATGAGTTAACAGCCAAAGGGTTTTTCATTAACTCGACTTGGCAACCGTGTATTTCATTGCCTTCTCCCCCTAACCCAAAAAAAAAAAAAAAAAAAAGAGAAACGTGTAATTTTAAGCAAAAGCTGAATGGCATAACATGGGTTGATTTGAGAGGAGGAGTTTTTCTCAAGATGTGTCAGATTTCCCTTGTGTCCTCATCCCTGCGCGTGACGAGTGGGTAGGTTGATAGCCGAGAGTTTTATTTTGGAGGATGTGCGTGTCTTGATTTTTGACCATTGCTTTCCTGCGGGTGTGTTAAAGCCCTGTGTGTCCTGGACCAAGCAAGAGGATGCTGACCCTGAGGGAGGGCAGTGACCGACAGCTGCTCCCCGTCAGCCTCGCAAGTAGATGGGACAGGGGGAACTGTGTATGTACACATTGGGGAGCACGCTGTTGCTTGCGGGGCAGGTGCACGCAGGGCAGGGAAGGGTGTTGTGGCAAGCAGGGTGTGTGCACACATGCAGGGCAGGGATGGGGTATATTGCATTGCTGCACGTGAGCCAGACGTGTGTGCCTGTAGGTCCTGCTGGGTATGTGTGTGCACAGCAGAACCGGGGTCCCATGGGTGCCGCAGTGTGAGATTGCTTCACTGAGGCAGGTGCACGTGTGTGTGGCGTGGGGTCTGTGTCGCGCAGGCAGGTGCGGGTGGTAATGCGCCTTGGGTGCTGGGACAACCCCCCTGTGCTTGCCCGCCAGGCTGTCTGCTGCTAGTGGGCCAAAAATAACTGTATTGTAAGAGGTGTTTGGTATTTTGGGGGAAGCAGTGCCAGGGAGGGTAGTGGTGATGGGAGCAGGAGTTTCATCGAGATAGGGAGTATTTTGGTAATTTTGCTCAGGTAGTTTGTCTGCGGCAGCCAGCCAGGATGTGTTGTCTTTCAGTGGATGCTGCTGCTTTGTTTCCCACCAGCGTGTCCTTTGCTTCAGTCACACGAACTCACAGTCGGCCTGGTCATGTGCTGCTCTGTGCACCCCATTGTGTCCCACCTAGGTGGGCCGCAGTGGTTTTTGGAGCTTCCTCCCTGGTGAAACTGGAAGCTGGTTGCATAGGAGCACCAGTGGTGTAATTAGTATCATGGTGTGGTTATTGCAGGAGACATCTTTAGTTTTACAAGAGTAGCTGCCATAGCTATCTTGAATGCGCTCTGTACAATAAAGTAATTTGTGTGAGGCTCTGTGTTACTGGTATGTGCACACCTTTACTAGCACCTGGTGTAAAGTGGTTTTTAGATATCTCTAAAAATTCTTGCCTGGGGTTTGCTTTCAAGCCTTTAGTTCATGTAAAACTGAGTGGTGTTGAAGTGACATCTAGTTAGTGATAAGTGCTATGTGGTCTGTGTGAAAAACAGGGCATTTATAATCCCCATCTAAATTGTTCAGTTTAATATGCAAAGGTAATGCCTACAGGGGAAAAAAAAAGAAAAAAATAAAGCATCAGTGAGAATAAGAATTGTACTAAAGAATGATCTTAAACATGTTTAAAGAGAGGAGTGGTCTTTGTTAGCATGGCCCCTGTCTAACTGTGTCTGCCTGGAATGAAGCAACAGGAGTGACATTCAACTTTTGTAGATTAAAGTTTCCCTGTGACAATGACTAATGTCTTTGCTTTAAAAATTAGGTTAATCGTATGATTTTATAGTTGGTCATAGTATTGTGCTGTCACCAAGATTTAACAATAGCAATTATCAGTACAGAACTAGTCACTGAAGGAATTGAAAATGATTGTGTCACCATTCTGAATCTATGCCTATTGAATTGATCCCTCATTTTAGCAAAGGAGGGTTTTTATGTCTTAACACTTTACAGATCACCTTAAGAAGCTGTGTCCTTGGCTTCAGTTGACTGAAAAATGAGTTATCTTTAAAATGCACCCTGCTGTGGGTGTTTGCACAAGAAGAGTATCCTCATAGAAATTATGTAGTCACCAACTCTTGCAAACTTTGGGCAGTCTGTTTATTTGGATTTCTTTGTTAAGGCCTTTGTGTGCAAGTGACTTCAACAGTTATCTGTAGTTATCTGTGATCCTGACTGGTGAGTTTTATGCTGAGGTCCCATCTAATGAAGGGCATCTATATTTAGTGTGATCCAAAACCTGTCAGCTTTGAAGGCCTCACTTCTGTGAAGACTTAAATTTGTACCAAGAAATTCCAGGATTTCTCTGGGATTACATACAGTATGCAAAATGATTTTGTGAGACTAATGATGAAGTCTGTATATGTGTACTTAAATTGGAAATCTGGATTTGACTATACTGTTTCTTAAAGTCATCAAAATAGAAAGCTGAAATGCAGAGTGCTTGCATTTTGCAGGAAGCAACTTGTCCAAGCT